TTATTTGCTTTTATTTAAAATTTTTAATCATAAACAGCATAGCAATAGTTTTGCTATTATCACCCTTATAACACTTCCTAGTTAATATTAACTAATATGTTGAACATTTTAAAATGGGTAACACTGGGTTTATACGCTGCCATTGAGTACTTTGTGAGCTGTGTTCTTTGAATTGATACTCATGCCTTGGGATATAAAAAAGGTTAACAAATGGCATATCTGTCTAAGTAATGTACAGCTCATTCTACACTTTTACACATCTGTGTGCCCTCTTGATGACTTCAGCCTTTCTAAAACTAACAAATTAATTCAGGATTTATAGTTGAGAAACAGCATGGCTGCTTCTGCTGTCTGTCTTTATTCATTATGCTAATAATAGGAGGTGTAATAAACAACATTGATTTACAACTGTACATTTTAATTATTGTTTCTGAAGGTTTACGTAATAGGAGAGGTGATCACTGCTCCTTCTTATTTTGAATTTTCTCTTTTGGTGCCAGACTCTACTGAGTTATTCAGCAAGCAGAGAGCTTTGCTCTTTTCATCAGTGATTCATGGAAGAGTTGACAGTTTGTGTGTTAAGGCAATCTGAACTTCAGCCTAACAATCTGATTTGTTGGCTCAGTAGATTTACTGCATCTTGATTTTCTTGATAAATTCCATGTGAAATCCAATACCAGCTGCCCTGACAACATCTTCATCTACATAAGTTCACATTGGTCAAGATGCAAAGAGAAAGAGCCTCAGATAAAACTGAGAATTTTGTAATGAAAAGTTAAAGGTTTGCAGAGGTTTTGCATGCATATTTTTTTTTATCTACAGATAAGCTATAATTAACTTTAGAAGTGATCTTTTGCTTTTGGACAGTCTTTGTTAATTTTCAATGAAGATATTAAAACATTGTATCTTCTTATCATGGGTTACAGACGAAATGGAAAGTCCTTGTTCACTATACAGAGACACTGCAATTGCAAAAGACTGAAAAGAGATAATTTAATGATAAACTGTTAAAGACACAGACCAAAACTATGGATTATACAAAATTAACGTAATGTAGAAAACAGCTTGACTTCCTGGGGTGAAAAGGATAAAACAACTTAAAATGACTGTAAAATCAACAAATAAATAAATTTAGAAGTAGCTCCCACTCATAGCAATTAGTTGAAGTAATTTACTGTTTTGATGAGTGAAAAACCTGTAGCATGAGAAAGATCCATCTATGGAACTCAAAGCAGAAGAAAAAATTCTGTGGACCCATTAATGATAGTCAGTAAAGATTGAAGTAACAGACTGAACTGACTGACTAAGTCTGTTAAATGGATTTCAATAATGATATCTGGAGAAAACTTGCCCATCCTAAGGGTTCTCTTGCTACTAACACAAAACAGAGAACAGTGTGTCATTGTCTCTCAGTTTTCATGAATAGCATCACTGAGATGGTGAGACAAACATTTTAGACAGCCTTGAGGAGGATGCAGGTGTATACTGCAAATATTGGTGTACAACTGCATGTTGCAAGTTTGAGACAAATTTTCATTATGCTGGTGGATTTCCTTGGATGTTTCAGTTTAGTAATAATGTAAAAATGCCTCGGAGATCTTGAATTGAAAAAGACTCCCTAAGATGAGATATTGTACAGAATAATTTTTAATAACTTATGCCTATCCAACTGTCTGGTGCTTATTAATCTGTCTGATCATCAGGAATTAATTTCAAGGCTTTAATAGAGAAAGTAAAAGGAAGCATAACTGTGGTGCAACTTCACTGAGGCTTCCTGAATCTCAGGATTGTATTTCTTTTCTTATAATACTCTGAAATGTAACATTGACAAAGATAACCAGGGAAAAGCAAAATAAAAAAACCCCAACAACTTATGCAACAGTTGCTTGGAGACAGAGAATACAGAGTCATCAAGTTGCATTGGTTATTCCAGAACAACATGGTAAGGGAACTGCAGCTGGATCCCAGAGAATTAGGCCATGTTCCCACCTAAGATGTAAGGGATAAAGAGATTCAAAGATGATAACAAACGCTGAGTATTAAGCTATGAAGAGTATAATTTGTAATTAAAAATACTTACTATTTAATCAGAAGAAAACTTGAAACTAAAATCCCAGAAACTAGAACGGTGCAAGTTGGGTTTTTTTGTGGTGTGATGTTCTAAGGCAGGAATCAAACCTGCAGAATTAAAGTTTATTATCACAAAAGCAGGGTTGGAGATTTGGGGCTACAACATGCTCCTGGATATTAAGGCTGCACACATGCCCTGTGTATACTTTTGTTCCTCCATCCCCGAACAGGTTTCAGCCCTAAGAAAAATAAATAAAACACTCCAAATCTGCTACAGAATGCCTAAATGTGCCTTGAACAGAACTGAGCAAGCACCTGAGGAAAAGCAGGCATATCCCCTATCCCTTAGGGAACTTATCAAGATAGATAGTGCTCTGCCACACTGAAAGAAAATTGAAATTTTTTTCTATCCAAAGACTTCATCATATTTAGGAAGCAGTTTATGTTATGGAAAAACTTTCGGCAATAACCATGAAGAAAAATTGTTTTATTCATCTTGATCACTGTCAGGGATTTTTCCATTATGTAAACAACAGCTCATAGGTATTCAGGCATTCAAAGCTTCAAAACAGCTTTGAGAGCAGAGAGCAACTGACTTCGCTGAATGCAAACTCATCATATAAACCTCTTGATAGTTATTATTCTAAGAAGCACATTGCCTCTGTCTTTGCCTGCACAGACTACAAAGTGCCATGAAAAGTACTGAAAGAGCCTGAGAAGTTGCTCAGGGGGTATGTAAATTTATTCAGACCTTTTAGAATCAGTGAAAGAGCACGTGGGATAATCCTAGAGTTGTGCTTGTTATTCTGAACTGTTGAAAATGTCCTCTTAAGAAAGAAATAAGAATTTAACTTTAAATTTAGATGGGATTACACACATTACAATATCACACAAAATTAGCAATAGTCAGTATACCCTATGCAATTAAACCAGATGAGGCATGCTGAAATACTTTTGGGCTATAACAGGGTTCTTTCAAGCATTTGCTTTCAGTGAGAAACTTTTCTTTCTATGTTTGGACATCACACATCCTCAGTTTTTAGTATCTGATCTGTAAAAGGAGAAGAATCAATTCACTATGCAACAAAGGCAACTTTGTCCCCAAGTAACTTTTTCCAACAGGACATAAGATTAGGATGACAACACTGACACTTCACTAATAATTAGTCATCATGTCTTAGCAGAACATACTATAATAAATATATTTTTCTAAAATTTCTCTTAATCTGTTTTTCTTTTTAACATCATGTACTTTAGGTTGCCTCTTTTTATCAAATGTTATTGGAATTTTTTAAATTCTAGATGCTCAGAGCTTAGGAAAGGATTTTATTTCTTTTGATTCCTCTCCTGGGAAAATAATCTACCAGCTTGTTAGTTTCTTCAGTACTCCCTGTATAACAAAAAGTGGCATACATGGAAGGACTGATTTTCTTTTCCTAGCTCTACTCCAAAGATGCTGTGAGCACCTGCAACTTCTGTTAATTTCCTTGGGTATTGCAGGTGTTCAGCAGCTCTAAGAACTGGACATACTGGGGACAAAAAACTGTGAAAAGCCCATATTGGATCCATGGACATAAGGCTGGAAGTCCTAAAACAGACAGCAGTGAACTTACACCACACAAAAAAATGTGTTTTTTCCAAGTGAACACATGAAGAAAGATGTGACTTGTTAGAAAAACATCTTACTTCTCTTTTCTTGGATGGCCATGTTCAGAAGCTTTCATTATATTTTGCAGACTGAAACAGAGTAAGATTTGTTCATACTCACATCTGAATCTCAGTCTGATTCCCATGACTATTACTGTCACTATACAATTAGAATAAAAGTATTTTCTGTTATTCTCATCCTCTGCCCACCAAAGTTGCATTCTCGTCTTTTCTTCTTTAGTGCTGTGTTTTATTATTTATTTGTTGTCTCTTTTTTCTGTGCACTGGTAGTTATTTATGTTTTATATTTGCTGGAAAATTCTAATAAAATCACCAGGACTTAGAATAGAAACTTTTCTTTTTTTTAATTGATGGAAAATCTGCAAGTTTAATTAGGCAACCCATTGAGATAAATGCATCAACAAATAAATTTCCCACTCATGAATGCAGTACAAGCGACAAGCAACTGCCTAGCAAGTTTTAATTCACTTGGGTACCAAAGTTTATACCCAACACATTTGGCTCAGATAATAGCTTTCTGATAAAACCCAAGGATTGCAGAGTGAACTCCAGCAGGGCAGCTGATTCTTCAACACTGGGAAATCTCCCACTGGATTAGAGCACACACATTTTTCCTGTCAGGCAAACAAGTGCATGCCAGGAACACGTCTGAAGAAAGAAGGGGTTAATACAAAACTGCTCATTGCAGGTAGTTACTATCTACGCTCTTCTAGGCTACTCTATAAATAAGCTAGTCCTGATGGCCTGGAAAACAGGGAAGTACAAAGATCCTATTTAGTCTACAAAACTCTTGTTTACAGAGCAGGTTATTTTTCTTTGTTTATACTGGGCACTATCTGAATCCAGAAAAAAAAAAAAAAAAGGCAAGGCTAGTCTGAGACTGCATGACGCCAACCACTGGTAAAAACTGAGAATGTCTGATCTTTTGATTAGAAATATCAAGACAAGGGTTATTGATACATAGTATAATGCCTTAAAAAGAAAGAAACAAAAATATTTTAAAAGAATAATCACATAATACAGGTCGTAACTTTTATAATAAAGCCAGATGTTCAACATTTTTCAATAACTGACATAAGGAAGCAATGCTATTTATGAAAGATGTATTTATTTCTCATGATTCAGAGAGGCATTTTACTTTTTACTTTTGCTGCTGAAAAGCAGTCTGTGTACTTGAGGAATCAATTAAAAATAATAGATTAAAAGTGAGGAAACAGCAGTTTCAGTTCAGAGCTTTCAGCCTATCTGCAATTTGCTTCCACTTAAAAACATGACTGTTTCTTCAGAGCAATAACTGCATAGCATCTGGGGGATTTCACGGGATCAAATAACTTCACAAGTCCAGACCAGGCAATGTTGTCCTGTAAAATGATATGTGATTGAAGTACATAAAAATGTGTTTGACTTAAAAGCTAAGATATGGTAAGAGGTCCACATTTTGACACACAAAATTGCAAAAAAAAAAATTTAAAATAGCCTTAATGCAAAGCAGAAAAAGCATTTACCTAAAATGAAAATCACAGCAAGTTTGTTGAGAAAAAAGGTTACCCAAAGCAGGATGTAATTTAAATACATGAAATTATTTCTGGCACTATCAAATGACAGCTTACACAGCCCCGCCCCCCCTTCATTAATAAAGCTTTTTTTTCAGTTGAACTAGAGCAAAGAAACTAAGGATCAAGTCCTACTCATGTTATGCAGCACATTCTACTACTGAAGCTAATTAACTGACTTCTCAAATGAATAAGGCCAGCTGGATCTGGTCTTCATGTTGCATATGGCTTTTATCATTGCTATTTTTTCTTCCTAAACACATTTTGTGAATCAACCAGTACAATATTAAATCAATGCGCATATTACATTTAGAAAAGGTAAATTAGTGCTAAATGCAGCAATTCTGATCTCCCATCTTGGAAATCATACAGATCTCTATATGATTTATAACTGCTTGGCATTTGGGAAAATACATCATTATTTAAATATTTCAAATTGCCTCTCTGTAAAAATACCAGTTAGAACAAAAGCATACATTTACTACAACTCGGTTGTTCAAAGTGCACTGTGGCAGAGAATAAAGTGAATTTTTCCTTATGATAAAATGGTGTTGTTAAAATGAAAGGTTTATGGTGGAAAACCAGCTATTCACATGAATGGGTTTAAACTTTAATTTGACCCTGGCCCAGAGCAGAAGCTGGAAGATGTTACCATTTCCTCCTAGCAAATTTTTACATGTCCAAAAAATGTTTACTGGGGCAGAGAAAGTCCGACTGCTGCTTCTGAGCTAATCAGGCCAAGCTCAAAATTAGTGTTAGAAGAAACACTGTAACGTAAGTCATTATGAAGTAAACGTCCTAGCATTTGGTTATTATAACCCAGGTCTATACCTGTAAAATACATCTGGGCTGCGTGGTAGTCAAACATACCTCAGCTGACCCACACAGTTGGAAAAAGTGCACCCTGTCTCATAATTGATCTTAATTAAGAAGCTATAAAAGGAAATAATAAACATTTTGGACCTCAATTAAAATTTCTTTAATTGTATTTTCTAAAACATATTCATTGGAAGCTCTAACATGTATAGCACAATGTTTAGCATTTCTAATACTGTTTTAATTATTAAATATCTCACTATGTTGTATAAAATGAGATTTGTTGCATACTTAATTAATTTATTTTTTACTGTCTATTGACTAGTAATTACCATACAATTAAAAAAACATAAACTTTACTGTTGCTGCTTTGCTGAAAACAAAAACATCTGCTGGTCATATGTTTATACTAAACGGAATGAATGCTTATACTTTTGCAAATATGATGAGAATAATAATTCTGCAACAGAGACTTTTGGTCTGCACAGTAATAAATTGGCTGAAATAGACTCATTTCACTGATGTAGCCGTTAGGTATCATAAAATATAATGCAAAAATACCTGTTCCTTGAGGTAACAAAGACGATCCAGAAGTATCAAAACTTCTATGCAGGGAGCCAGGAAAACCTTCAACTGAAAGAAAGATTAGATACTATAAGGATTCTGGGAAAGAGAGCCAATACACTTCCAAATGGTTACACTTCCACAAAACAATTCCAGGAAGGTCAGTCATTTTCTAGTGATTCTGTTGTACAAGTATCACCTTGTTAATTTTCCCTGTGGGATGGACATCTTCAAAACAGATTATATTAAAGATCACAATGGAATGCCATAAGGTCAGGAAACTCTGTTATTTAGTTGGTTTTGAGACATCGTCTAACAAGAAAATTATATTATATGAGGCAGAACAATTTTAAAGAGGGAAATAATGGATTTTAATAAAAAGAATCTTTATGACATAACTGCATGGAGACTAGTATAGGTTTAAAAGGAGACTGACATTTCATTTTCCAGGGTAATAGTCCCTCTTGAAAAAGAATCTTCCAAGTGTTGGCTTTATTATTTTACTGACACCTAATATAGTTTTGGAACAGGATATGCTCCAAAGTTTGGAAGGGGGAGCTGCTTTGTTTTTGAGATTGTATACCTCAGTGTAAGACAGCCTACCTCCACATAAAACTTCACAGGGCTTTGTTCTAGACTGGCACATATATATTAGGTAATAGTATTAATCCTATAACTTTTACCATATTAAATGCTTCAAGCTCATTCATTCTGTGCCTGTATTTTTCATAATACTCCATTATACAGCTGTCTGGGAGCTGAAAGAGATTAAAAGAAAAAAGATATCAGAGTTATTTTAGTTACACTTTCAAGAAAACTTTAAAATGAAGTATTTTTTCTTACAACATGAAATCTGTGGTTTGTTTTTGAGATTAGCACTTTACTAAGGTTTATAATAATATTCTAACAGCAGTTTCCTAGTTCACATTTACAGTAAGTGTTCTTTAGACAGCATTTTGCACTGACATGAAATACTGAGCTACATTCATTATTCAGAAAGCTCTAGCCATTCTTAAATGAGAATTGCACAGTAACGTAGAGATAACATTCTCATTTTCTTTCCCATATATCTTAGCGCCTCCTCGCCCCCATTTCCAAGAGCTTTATTTAAATAGCTGAGGAGTGGCTTCTGGTGTGAGAGGAACATGCTTCAGTCAGGACACCTGGATGGTATTTCACATTACAAAACCTACTATAAGGTTCTGGAAATAATATCTTTTTTCTCTGCACCGCAAGTTACCCATCTTCAGGATAAGACTTTATTTACTTTGAACTACTACACATTCCCTTCTTCCCAATCACCTGATGCAACTAAGCTGGCATTGTCACTGACTATAAATGCTGTGAACTGGGGCTGAATTTGATGCAAAGGCAGCTCAAGAACTTGAGGAAGCCAAACACCCCACTCCTTTTCAGTAGATACTGCACTACCGCAGGTAGCTAGAGCTATAACCATAACAGCTCTTCACAAAGCGTGTTCTCTCCAGGGCAGCCAGACCATAACATTTTCCATGTTTTAAAGGTCATGATGTCTCTACTCTTCTGCTGTCTACAGTCCTGGATACTAAAGAAGGCAGTTGAGCTGGTCACTTAAGCAACACGTTAAAGAAGCAGGAAGTAGGTTTGCAGTGTTACTGGTGACGGAGGCTGCTGGGAAGAGTGGAGCTGAAAGAGCCCGAGGTACATCTTCAGCATTGGAAGTCTGCAGTACAGCTGCTTTGCTGTGGCTATGGAAAGAGCTAGTCCACAGCTTAGCGGAAAAGTAATGGTACTGACGAAAGACAAAAAACCTAAAAACACTGAAAGGTAAGCAGATTAATAACAGTCAATATTAACTTGTCAAGAACAAATAATAAAGTCAGTCTGCTTTGCTTGTAAGGAGAGTGCAAGGACTCACAACAGCAAAAAAACCAACTGGTTGTCTTATATTTTGATTTCAGCAAGTTTTTGGACATAATTTCACATAACCATTTCATAAGCAAATGTAAGAAGGTTTAGATTAAAGTATTATAAAGCAAGTGAAAACTGTTTAAATTACTATAACCACAGAGTAGTTATTAATGAGTCTTTGAACAACTGAAAACACCTGCTGGCTGGAGGTTAATTACAAAACGCAGTATTTTCATTAAGAACTCAGATGACGCAACAGAAACCACTTTAACTAAGTCTGCAAATGTGCAACTGGAAGGCTTTGCAAGAACTTAAAATGCTTTTCAGAAACTGGAGCATTGCTTAGAAAAGCTGAAATGCTGTACAGAGAAGCAGAGCTAAGCTCAGGTGGAAATAATCAGCTGTTCAGGATGGGTAGCACCAAATGACAATCTGGGAGAGACAGCAGATCAGGAGCTGCGTGAGAGTCATAGTTGTGCAAGTGCAAAAAAAAAAAAAAAAAAGCAATCACTATTCTGAGATACATACGGGAGAGGGGCCTGTGAAGCACAGGAAGCAATCCCTCAACTCTGCTTTGCAGTGGCAAAGCTCTAGCTTCATCCATTTTTGGGCATCAGATTTCAAAGAAAGAAATGAACTGCCTGAAAAAGCTCTGGGAGAGGAAAGAGATTAGAGATTTAGAAAACATAATGTATGAAGAAAGACAGAGAAAATTGAGAGTGGGCATAGTAACAGTTTTTACAAGGGTATCACAAAGAAGAAGGGAGCAGCTTGTTCACTTTGTCTACAGAGAGTAAGGTAAGAACTAATGGACTTGCACTGCAGAAAAAAAAAATAATCAGCCAAAAACTTGAAGTAACTTTCTCTCTTTGAGATTAATTAAGGACTGGGGAGGTTGCCAGGCTCCTCCTCAGGACTCCTTCAGAAGATTAGACAAATGTTTTTCAGGAATGACACAAAATTCTTACTGCCTTAAGACAAAGGGATGAGTTGAGTTAGAAGAACTTCTGTAGTTTTTCAGTCTTACTTCTTGAATTTAAAAAGTACTTCTTCCCAACTGCAAGGGCAGCATTGAGTAAGCAATCTGGCAGCACTAATGTGGACTAAGAGGACTTTTCTGGTCTTATTACTGTTTTATTTTCAGTAAAGCTGTGCAAATATCTGAGGGTTTGTTTTTCTGTTCCACTCTAAAGAGCCAAACCGACTAAATATATCTATCAGTCATGAGATAAACAAAGCAGTTTATTTAACCTCTGCCCTATAAGCTTGTCATTTCAACTGAGAATTAGAAGAGTTTTAGTAAAATGGATTTTCAAAGTTACAGGCTATTTGGAATTAAAATACCAAGATCTGAATTTGTAAAAAAAAAGGATATTAAAACCTTTCTGCTTTTGCTTCCTTAATGTCCTCCATTTTTCAACATGAAGCACTGAAATTAAAAGAAAACAGGCTGTGAAATGTTTGGCAAATAAGAAGACAGATCAAAAATGCCTCCTGGATGTTGCCATACTCAAGTTCTGAGCCCAAATGCTTTTCCACTCCCTCCTTGCTTACTACACATTCCAACGGAATGCATCCTGCTATCATGGATTGATTAGGTAGAATTCCAAACTGTACCTCAATTAAAAGTTTGGTGGTGGAACTAATTCAAAGCAACAATCCAGCTGGAAAAGAGACAGTGTCCACCATGGAGCATTGATAGAAAAGGACATGACAATAGAACCTGGTAGATATGTGGTCAATTTATTAGATGACCAAAACCCAGATAACACTGGCTTTGCCTCAAACTGCAACAGCTTGACACCTGGTTTCAGTTCTTAAAAGGTACCCAACACAATCTGCAGCTATCCTTACAAGGTGAAGAATAAAAATTATTGTTTGCATTTTCAGGAACAGAATTGTACTTACACATGCAAAATAAGGTTGTGAACAAAAGAGCCTTGTCTCTTTGCACTGTGATGGCAGTAGATGCTTTTTATAAAACTAATTTTTGTGGACTGGTGTGGTGGCTCCAACCAAGAGGAACTAGAGGGCAGCAAGATCTCCACTGACTTAGTTCTAACCGTACCACACGCTGGCGGTGACACTAAAACTGTACCACAGGCCAGACTCATCTGTTGTGAACACAAGGACAGCGTGAGAGCAGCTGAGACACCACACACCAGAGCACACCTGAGTCAGACTGCAGTCCCACAGACATGCTGATTGAGCACAGGCTGAAAAGAAAACATTCAGGGATGAGGTGGGGGGACAATTAGTGATAGCATATTTAAAATTTCTCCAGAGAGGGAAAATTTCTCCAGATGTGTCTTTCC